TAGCCTCCTCGCGCCGGCGGCGAAAGCAACTCCGGGCGCGCGTTCCCCCTCGTCGCCCCTCCGTCCGTGGATCGCCCGCGCCCCAGCCTGGGCGGGCAGTCGCGCGCGCTCGAACATGGGGCCCGCCTGCTGCCGCGTGGACTGCAATGGCCCCGGCGATATCGCGCCAAAGTGGGCGCTGCCCGCCCGGCCCCTCGGCCTCTCCAGCTGCGAGCCCAGTCGCGCCGAAGCAGCTGCTCCGCGACGAGTTGCGGGGCGCAGCCCCTTGACCGCGAGGTGCTCCGCGGCCTTCTCGGGCCGCCTCCGAGTGGCCATGATCCTCGGCAACTGTCACTTCACGCTTCGCCTCCTCTACGAGAAGGGCGTCGGCGCCCCCCCGTTCGACTCCCGCAGCGAAGCCCTCGCCGCCTCCTCGTCTGGCGCCACCGCCCCCCGGTTGGGCGCCGAGGTTTCGCGGCCTAGCTCCTCCTGCTTCTTAGTCGTCGCCGCGGTCGCCGCCGCCAAGTGCGCGCAGTCAGCGGCCCTGTGCCCGCGGGCGCTGAGGGCGGCGTCGTCGAGCACGATGTCAAGTTGGGCCCTGGGCTCCAGCCCCCAGCGCTTCCTCTGGTGCTCGTCTGCCATGGCGAGCATGGCGCACTTGAGGAGGCGCCCCGCTTGCGAGCAGCCAACTTCCAGCCCCGCGCTCAGGCGCGCAGGGGGCCCGACCGAGGTCTCGAGCTCGATGCGGAATGGTCTGACAGCGCCAAGCCCAGCAGCCGAGCAGGGCACCGAGCCATGCTCCGCGCTCCTGGGCTTGCCGCTCAAGTCCACCAGGTCGAGCTCAACCGCGCAGCGCTGCTGCACCTTGCCGCGGACGTCGTGCCCCATCGCCGACGGAGGTGCTGTCGCGCCCTGTTCCAGAGCCCAATGGGTCTGAACCCCCTGTCGGCTTAGGCAGTGTGGCCACCGGCGCCTCGCGCCCGCCACTGGGGGGTGGGTGGGCGCCCAGCTCCTCGCAGCCCATCGCCAAGTCGATGAAAGCCTCGACGAGCTCGTCGCAGATGAGACTGAACTGGCGTGGTCCTGGCTTGTCCCACGCCCATCTCCGTTCTCGCAAGGAAAGACCTGACGGCTGCTTTTACGTCCCCCACCTACAGAGCGGCGGCGGCGGCGGCTTTCTTCCGAGCAGCTATCCTCAGATGTTGTCATTCTGCCCCGTCCGGATCTGCAGCCCGTGGCTCCCTCGGCAGGATCAGCGCTGCCACCGCTGCCAGCTTCGTCCATGAAGGCGTCCAGCACGGCGTTGAGCTCCTGGGCGTTCTCCTCCGTGTCGGCCTCGGAGCGCTCCTCGCTCTCCTCGGCTTCGTTGGTGATTTCCCTGGCGAGCTCCTGCATGGGGCCGACAAGCTTGCCGCAAATATCTGCGAAACCTGGCGAAAGCATGCTTCTGGCCTGCTCGAGCAGCTCGTCGGCCGCTGTACCACCAGCGCGTCCAAGGCCGCTTGGCTCGCCTTGACTGCCGCCCATGCCGATGCTGCCTTGCCCCGCTCCTCGATGAGATTGGCGTCCAGGGTCTTGGCCTCCAGGTCCAGCCTGCTTCCCTCCATGGGGTCCACGTCGTGCTTCTTATCGAGGCCCGTGTTCCTGTCGGACAGCGACTGGTTCCCAGCCGCGCGCTCCTCCAAGGCCATCACATCCTTCTGCTTGCTCTCCCTGAGGGCCTCGGCGCCCTCGATGACATCGGGCATGTCGAGCTCCTTCAATAGCCTGGCGGGGTGGTGATGTCCACAGTGGATGCCTCCGTAGACGAGCTGTCTCCATGTCCCTGCGCTTTCTTGAGCTCCACCTGCAGCCACCATACCTCACGCTGAGCCTGCTGAAGCTCCTTCTGCTTGAAATAATACTGCTTCTGGGGTGTCCCGCGTCCGTTCACACTGCTTGACCTCGATCCACCCCTGCTCGCTGGCGCTGCTGCCCGCAACCATGACACCAGCCTCGCAAAGCCCAATTATCGTCCTGGCCGCACGGCTGGCACGTCCACTGACCGTTGTGCCTCGCCTTCTTGTTGCCGCCTGCCGCGCCACCGCCACCGACCGCTATGGCAGGCGTTGATATGGATCAATACTGTCGGAACCAGCCACGCTCGGGTATATAATGATTTTGATGTTGTCGCTTGGCGTCAGTGCGGTCCTGCCGCTCAACACGCCCAGAGGACTCGCGGTCAAAGGGACCCTAATCGGCATTGGGCCAAAGTGGCTACAGAAACTGATGTTGATTATGATGACGATGTTGATGAAGATGATGCTGATGTTGTTGATGATGGTGATGATGATGATGATGCTGATGATTGTGATGAGGATGATGCTGACGACGACGATGCTGATGGTGGCCATGATGACGACGACGACGATGATGTTTGACATGGTGATGATGATGACGATGACGCTGATGATGATGATGATGATGATGATGATGATGAAGATGACGATAGCGACGACGACAATGACGATGACACTGACGA